TGATTTATTGACCCTCCTATTGCTGTGCCTCCTTTTCTTTCCTTGATTTTTATGGCTCCAAAAGAGACGTGTTTAACTAGAGTCCTAACCAAGCACACATATCCTCCATTCTGTGCATCAGCAGGGGCAATTCAAGCACTAGGATTATTGCTTAGCAACCTAGAACGGCCTGCCATGGTAGGGGAGCACTAGCAGGCTGCAATGAATAGAGAGAACACCCTAGTTTATTTGTGGGCTTATTAACGAGCCATTATAGAGCGGTAGGTACTAAGTAGCTTTCTTTCTTTAGCACTACCCTTAAATCAAGCAAGGGCATACATTCTTTGGCTTGTGCTAGACAGACTAAGGGGAAAGCAAGTACCTTCACGCCTGCAGAACTGAAAGAATTGCTCTTTCGTACTGTTTTAAAGGTAAAAATAAAAGGATTATATACTATTGGTATTATGGCTAGTTGATTTTTGTTTTCTGTGGCTGTGATAAGAATACCCTGACACAGGACACTTGAGGGGGAGAGATTTGGGTGGCTCACTATTTCAAGTTACAGTCTGTAGAAACGTCAAGGTGCAGGACCTCCAAGCAGCCAGTCATATCACATTCACAGGGAAGCGCAGAGAGCAATGAAATTAAAGCATGAATTCCAGGGCTCAACTGGCCTTTCCACTCTTATACAGCCTTGGATCCCAGCCTAGGAGTGACCACCCACAGTGGCCAGGCCTTCCCACCTCATTATGCAATCAAGATAACCCCCCACAGGCATGCCCAGAGGTCGAAGTAGTTCCAGATTTTGTCAAGTTGGCAATCAACTCTGACCATCAGAGTGACAAATCACCGTGCAGACATACCCTACCTTCTCCTCTACCAAGTGACCACTTTATTTGCAAATCCAACTGACATAGGAGAGAGCTGTAATCCTACCCCTCCTTGACTTCCTCTGATTGGAATAAGTGATTTGGCCACAGAAGAAATAAAAACCTGAAGAAGATTCATAAATACCGTCCACCATTGGACCCAGGACATTTGATAGATGGGCTTTCAGTGGTTTTCTTACAGGCTATTTGATTTTTTTCCTTGGGAAAAAGGATAAAATTTATCCTTCAGAGTATTGATTTTTCTGCAGTTTTTTTTAAAGCAGCAAAGCTTTTTTCCAATGAAATCTTATAATGCTCTCCAATTATGTGAAATAAATTGAAGCATAGCTGCTCTGGCCACAAAGGAGCTTCAAGTCCTGTGGATTCTGAAGCTCCTTTTTAGGAACCTGAGCATTACAACTCAAAAGCCACTCTCCCACAATGGGGATTCTTTTTTTTTTTCTTAAGGTTTTTTATTTTTATTATTTTTTCAAGTATATGTGTATTCATGTCTGTGTGTGGGCATGTGCATGTGAGTGAAGGTACCTGAGGAGGCCAGGGGTATTAGGTCTCCTAGAACTGGAGTTATAGGTGATTATGAGCCATGCAACATGGATGCTGGGAGCTAAACTGGGGTCCTCTGCAAGAGCAGTACATGCTCTTAACCACGGAGTCATCTCTCCAGCCCCTACAACAAGAACGCTTACTCTTGTAGCTGATGACTGGAATAAGTGGTTTAACCAAGGAGGAAATAAGAACCCAAAGGAAGGCTCACAAATCCCATCCACCACTGGACCCAAGATACTCCAAAGATGAGCTTTCAAGGGTTTCTACGAATTGATACCAACCACTCTGGAAGTAATTGAATAATATTTCTTGCAAGTGACCCTGTGTTTTGATACTTCTTGTTACTATAAAAAAAAAAAAGACAGGCTAGGGTAACTTTAAACAGCATGAATTCAACTTAAAAACAGGATAAATTTACTATTAACAATTACGGAGGCTGGAAAGTCTAAGGTCAAGTAAGGCACAAACAGATTTGAAATCTATTTCAGGGTTTAGTCTTTGGTTCCAACACAGCACCTGGAATGCAGTATCCTCTGCAGGAGATGAGCACACTGTATCTTCAAGTGACACAGCAGACAACAAGGGCCCAGCTAGTTCTCTAGCCCACCTAATATTTTTTCATTTTTATTTTGTATGTTTGTGCCTGTGTGAGTCTGTATGTCCCATGCATGTGCAGGTACCTGGGGAGACTAGAAAAAGGACATTGGGTACCCTGGAACTGGAGTTACAGGCAGTTGTGAGCTCTCCATTGTGGATGCTGGGAACTGAACCTGGGTCATTTGCAAGAATAATAAATGCTCTTAACCAGTGAGCGGGCTCTTCAGTCCCACTCTAGCCCTTCTGTAGGGTATTAATTCTTCCTTGAGGGCAGTCTTCCCCAGAGTCCCCACCTTTTAATACCGTCATGTTGGATCTTAGGCTCTGATATACAGATTTTGCAGGGACACAAGCATACATCCTGAGCACCCTGAATAACAATATCAATAACAGGGGCTGGCAAGAAGGCTCATTAAGGCTGACCACCTGAATTACATCTCCGGAATCCACATGGTGGAAAGGAAGAACCAAACGTTGTTCTCTGACCTCCATGAGCATACCATGACTATGTCACCCTCCACACACACTCACAAAATAAATAAAAGTAAAAAAAAATCTTGGTAATATCCCTTAAAGAAACACATATAGAAAAAGATACATGCAATAATTTTTGTAGTAGGATTATTTATTTTAAGAAAAAAAGCTAAAAATATCCCAATAGCTAACAAAATGAGAATGGATAAATACATTGTGATATAGTCATATAATAAAATATTATCCCACAGTAAAAAATCAAATGAAGTAGCTATACTTATCAATGTAGATAAATTTTCTAATTATAACATCAAGCATAAAAAGGCCATAGAATATATATGATATTAAATAGTTATATAAAATTAAAAGTGAGAACAATCAGCTAGACATAATAAAATATATCAAAATACATGGAGATGATGAACATAAAATTTAGAATAGCATTTTTCTCAAAGTAGAAATAAATGATAAATATTACTATGTAGGTAATTTTTCTTAAGCTAAAATTAGATATGTCTATATATCATCTTTGCAAGTCTGAATATTTCCAAATAAAAACAGGTTTTTAAATAGCCACTACTAGGAAGTTATGGAGGCTCTGTGTCTTGCCATTTCATTGCAATTGTAGTATCTGTTGGGAGTTATTACTAATTAAAACATGTCTCAATAGCTACTTTTCCATCATATTAAAAATTAGTATAGACAAATTTTCAGATATGTTTCTATTTTCTCCTACATCCACAAAATAACAGAAGCAAGATGAAGTAGCATAGCTACACGTAGCCATGATGCTGATGTGGGCACCTGTGTTCTTTTTCAGTGGATAATACCTAAAAAGACCCCCAAAGTACTTCATCTCCACAGCTGTGTCAGAAAAAAAAATCCAAACCCTTAAGATTCCCACTAATTCTTCCATCCCACTCACCCCAGCAATCACTGGAACAGAAGAAAATATCTAGTAGCTCACTGTTCACAGTGTGAGCTAGACATGTCCTGGGAACCCAGGGCCAAGCCAGTTCTACCAGAATCAAAACCTTAAGAGTCTCTGTGCTGATGTCATGAAAAAATGGCTTGCTTTAATTCTCAGTTACACTTTCAAAATTGCTTAGTTATATGTGTGTATTCTGCTTCACACTCACATGAGTATATTTTATATTTTTTTATCTTTTACATCAAGTCCATGACCCATCATTCCTTCATTTTAGCAACATTTCTTTTCTTCTCTGAGTCATCTTAGCTCAGTCCATCTCCCCAGATGCTCAGGACCATGATCTAATCTCCCTCCTGTATCTTTTGTTTTTCTCTCTCCTTTACCTCATGCTTCTCAGTCTCTGGTACACTCATCCGAAAGAAGGAAAGAAGGAAGATGGGGAAGGGAGGAGGCAATGAGGGACGAAGGGAGGGTGGGAGAAAGGGACAGGAGTTGGAGTTGGAGGTCAACCTTGTCTCAGAGGCAGCGAGTGCACAGAGTCGCAGCAAGTCAATTATTTAATAAAGGCACCGAGTAGCTCACTGGCTTCTGATTATGTCAATAGTGTACCAGACTTTTTCTTTTGGGCCACCAACCAGCTTCCAAATCATGACACAGAGACTTATTTTTAGATTTGAATGCTTGGCCTTAGCTTAACTCTTTTCTGGCTAGCTCTTTTAACTTAATCTGTTTTTCTTTGTCTACCTTTTGCCTCTAGGCTTATTAACGTTCTTCCTTCTGTTTACCTTACATTCACTGCTTCTCTAATGTCTGGCTCACTGGCTGGTGTCTGCCTTGCTTCTTGCTCCATGCAGGTTCCCTCCTCCTTCTCTCCTTCTTCTCATTCTTCCTCTCTTTCTCCTTCCTTCTCCTCTTCTTGCTCCTTGCCCTCTTCCCTGGATTTCTTCTCCTATTTATTCACTCCACCCACCAGCCCCGCCTATTTCTCTCTCCTGCCTAACTATTGGCCATTCAGCTCTTCGTTGGCCCAATCAGGTGTTTTAGGCAGGCAAAGTAACACAGCTTCACAGAGTTAAACAAATGCACCCTAAAAGAATGCAACACATCTTTGCATCATTAAACAATATTCCACAGCATAAATGGATGTAACACATCTTAAACTAATATTCCACAATATAATAGCAAATGTTTTTATGGTTCAAATGATTGTTCTCAGGATTTTTGTTTTGATTGTGCTCCAGTAAACCATGTAAATGAATATAAAACAATTTTGAGGCTTTGTTGTTGTTAAATATATTCTAAAGTCATCAATTAAACTCTATTTATAGTGTTTCTTAATTAAAAAATTACATATATGTGTATCTGTGTGTGGGTATGTGCACATGAGTGCAGGAGCCCACAGATGCCTAAGGCATCATCAGACTCTCTGGAGCAGTAGGTCCAGGTCCCTGGGAGCTGCATGGTGTTGATGCTGGGAACCCACCAGGGTCCTCTGCAAGAGCAGTATCAACTCTTAACCACTGAGCCATCTCTCCAGCCCCCTACTTCTAGTATTTCTTACGTTTAACTTTTTTTCTTCTCAGATGAGGACTCCCATGCAGCTTTCAGGAATGTTGTGTTTCGAAAACCTGCACAAGTGATTCTTGGTTTAGATGAATACGAACTGAGGTTAAAAACACAGCAACCATGGAAGAAAAATTTTCATGAGATAGTAGAAGCAAGAGCCCAGGTCATGCAGCAGAACATGTTAGAGAAGGATAGCCTGAAGAAGGAACAAGAAAAGAAGACTGCAAAAAATCTCCCTAGGGATGACTTGGCCAAAGAGTGGTTTAATATTGAAAGCATGACACTAAGTCCCCGGGCGTACTTGCTGGACAAGCTTCTACCCACCTTGATTCCGGGAGTAGAACACATGTTAATGCAGGTAGAAAAGAAGAAACTCTTGAGCCGAGCTGATATCCCAACGAAGTTTGATCCAATTAATTACTTGGGGGAATATTTAATGAGAAATAATACTCACTATGTCAAAGACCCAGGAATGTCTGGTTACCAGAGGGTGATGAAAGAAGTCACAGAGAAACTGAAGATACATGTTCCTGGTACAATCAGCAACAGGTACAGTTTGCTGAATATTCAGTTGGTGATCTGTCTCTTTGCATTAAAAAGCTAATAGAACAATCATGTGAATGCAAACAGGACTTGAAAGAAATGATTTTATAGTTAATCAAGAAGCATTTGTTGGCTGGTGGGGGGTGGGGTGTCTCACACAGATAATCCTAGCATTTGGGAGCTGAGGTAAATTTAGTTTCTTTTTAATAATTCTGAGTAGAAAACTTATTTCCTGTAACATACATTTTTCTTTTATGCAGTTAGTATGTGGGTGGTGCACATACCCATGGCGCAGGTCAAAGGACTACTTGTGGGAGTCAGTTCTCATCTTCCAGCTTTTTGAGGCAGGGTCTCTCTTGTTTCTGCTGCTGAGCTATGTACTCCAAGCAAATTCAAGGTTACATAGTAAGGCTCTGTATTAGTGAGTTCCTACTACGTGCTTCACTTTTTCAAAGCGCTGCAAGGACTAATGAATTTTAAAAAAAGTTTATTTTCATAGCACTGCAAGGACTGAAGAATTAAAATAAGTTTATTTGTTTTGTTTGTTTTTTGAGACACAGAGTTTTGCTTTGAAGTTCAAAATGGGCTTAAATTCACTATGTAGTCCAGGTTGGTCTCAAACTCGTTGGAATGCTCCTGCCTCGGCCTCCCAAGTGCTGGGATTATAGGCCTGCACCAGCACACCTAGCTAGTTACTTGGATCTGATTGTCACATTAGGATTTCAAGTATACATTTATGTCTGTATTAGACTCTGCACTGGAGAGTAACTTAATTCAAAGGTCAAAATATATATTTTAAAAAGGTGTACTTAAGTAAGCCAGGCGTGGTGGTGCATGCCTTTAATCTTAACACCCAGGAGTCAGGGACAGGTGGATCTCTGTGAGTTTGTGGCCAGCCTGGTCTACAGAGCAAGTTCCAGGAAGGCCAGAGCTACATACTGAGACCTTGTCTGAAAAAAATAAAAAAAATAAAATAAACAAAAAACAAAATGATGAAAATAAAATTGTACAGTAAAGCTAGGTGGTGGTGGTACATGCCTTTAATTCCAGCCCTCTGGAGCAGGGGCGGGGGGAGCTCTGTGAGTTCAAGGCCATCCTGGTCTACAGAGCGAGTTCCAAGACAGCCAGGGCTACACAGAGAAATCTTGTCTCAAAAAAACCAAAACAACACTTATCTTTTGTTATGCAGCTAGATTTAACTTTTATTTTATAGCATCCCATTTTGAGTCAGTCACTTATTAAAATATTACAAGAATTTGCCCACATATTCTTCTGCTCCTGTGGGTTTTTGTTTGTTTTGTTTTTTGGGTTTTTTTGTTGTTGTTGTTTTTTTGAGACAGAGTCTCACTATGCAACCCTGATTAGCCTGGAACCTGCCATGTAGACCAGGCTGGCTTTGCCTCCTAAGTCCTGGAATTAAAGACATGCACCACCACACCCAATTATGATACTAGTTTTTATTTTAAATATATACAAATATAAAATAAATTTGTAATTTATGCTAGTGTAATATGTAAGATGTAGATTGTTGCTAGAGTTTTTCTGCCTGGCCCACAGTCAGGGCAAATCTCTCTCACCCGCCAGTCCCAAGCCGCTCAAACCCGATCAAGTAAACACAGAGACTTATATTGGTTACAAACTGTATGGCCGTGGCAGGCTTCTTGCTAACTGTTCTTATAGCTTAAATTAATCCATTTCTATTAATCTATACCTTGCCACGTGGCTTGTGGCTTACCGGTACTTTACATCTTCCTTGTCCTGATGGCGGCTCGCAGTGTCTCTCCTCCCAGCTTCCTGTTCTCTCAATTTTCCTCTCGGTTAGTCCCGCCTATACTTCCTGCCTGGCCACTGCCAATCAGTGATTTATTCATTGACCAATCAGCAACATATTTGACATACAGACCATCCCACAGCAGTAGATACAACTTTATTCTTTTACAAATGACTAGTTAGCAATCCCAATAAGACTTACTGAAGCATCCCCGCACCCAGCCAATGAACATCTTTAACAAGGACAAGCATTTCTGCAATTGCTATTTGACATTTACTTATCTTCTTCTGTATCTATCACTGCTGCCTTAAAGTTTTCATGTGTATATGTATCCGTATTCCTTCTTCAATTTGTTGCAGGTTATCTTATACATTTTTGTTGCTATTATAAGTGGGCTTCTTCTTTGGGTACATTTTCGGGGGTCTGGAAGTAATCTGAAGAAATGAAAACTATTAATTTCTATATACTTTTGTTCTCTGTTGCCTTACTGAGTTTTCTTATAGTAAAATTGAATTGCTAAATTGGGTTTTCTAGGGAAACAACTATGCTGTTTTCAAACAATAGTCTTCCTTTTTATTCTCAATTTTTATGCCTCTAACATCCTTCTCTTATCTAGTTGCATTGACTATTACATCTAATTCAGGGTGCACAACAGTGGTTGTGTGCACATTCTGGTCTTTAATACTTTAGTAGAAATGGTTCTCATGTTACTACTTCACCATCAACAACTTACTTTATGTGTGGGTTCTATTCTATTTGGACCTAAAATCAAGTATTTTCTTACAATAAAAATAATATGTAGGACCGGGCGGTGGTGGTGCATGCCTTTAGTCCCAGCACTCGGGAGGCAGAGGCAGGCGGATCTCTGTGAGTTCGAGGCCAGCCTGGTCTACAAAGTGAGTTCCAGGAAAGGCGCAAAGCTACACAGAGAAACCTTGTCTTGAAAAACAAAACAAAACAAAAAAATGTAGGGTCCTAGTTGAGGAGCTGTTGACAGTTGATGGTTTCTGGGTTTGGGGACACAGTTTTCTTAAGCATGTGGCCCCTTGTAGGTTATCCATGGGATGGTCCCACACTTGTGAGTATATGGGCATCACCAACTGGACTCAATGTATTTTCTATATATGTGGAACATGAAATTGGGTGGGGTGAGGTGGGAGTGGAGCTGGGAGGAGTTAGGGGAAGGCATTAGGGGTAAATGTGATTAAAATACATTTTATACATGTATGAAATTCTTGAAGAATTAATAAAAATAGTATATTAAAAATTATTTAGGGGATGGTGATTAGTTCAAGGCAGAGCACTTGCCTAATAAGAATACTCTGGCCTCAACCTTATAGATATTAGGATTATAGGTATGTATCATGGTGCCAGCTTTTGGATTTTTTTTTAACTCTGAAAATTTGGGCTCTTAATAAAATTGACATAGTTATTGGTTTGCCTTATCCTATAATTTATATAGGATAGCCTCAAAATAATAATGAAACAAACCTATGTTTGTAAAAACTAGTTCAGTTTTTAGATTTACCTAAAGCTATTTATATATTAAATGAACTCATATAAAACCGAAGAAAGCTGGGCATGGTGACTCATGCTTATAATCGCAGCATTTGAGAAAGTAAAACAGTAAGATCGCCATAAGTTTGAGCTACGCCTGAGCTACGTAGCTTGTTTCAGGAAAACAAGCCCGGACTACAGAGTAAGACTTCATCTCAAAGAAAACACCAACAAAAACAAGCTTTGAGGAAAGTAGGGTATATTTATTTGTTTTATGTGTATAAGCGTTTTGCCTGTATGTATGTCTGTGCACCACGTGTGTACCTGGTGCTCATGAATGCCAGAGAGGACGTCAGATCCCCTGGAACTGAAGTCACAGATGCTTATGAGCCTCCATGTGGGAATAGAACCTGGGTCCTCTGGAAGAGCAGTCAGTGCTCTTACCCTTTGAGCCATTTTTCTAGCCCCAGAAATCAGGATTTTAAATCTTTTATTTTTTACTGAGGAAAATTTTTTACTTTGTTAACAGCTTATTTTAATTAGTACACATAATAGTGGGTTTCCCTATGATATTTTCACACACTCATATCCCACACTTTGTTCTACCCTTCCCCTCCTTACTTGCCCTTGTTTTAGCTCCCTCCCAATTAGTTCCAATCCTCCTCTGAAATAGATAAAAACCTTTTTAACCCATGACTCAAAATCAAGAAATATTGGTACATTTGGTTACATAAATACTGAAATATTTTTGCTTGGCAAATTGTGTCATGACTACTCAGCAGTGCTGTTCTTGTACAAAAACAGTCAGAAACAACATGTAAATGAGTCAGCATGGCTGTGTGCCCTTGAAACTTTATTTATGGGTCATGAAATTTGAATTTCACATCATTTTCACATGCCACAAAATATTATTATTCTTTTGGTTTAAAAAAAATACCACTTAGAAATCTATCTACCAGCTTTCTAGCCACATAAAGCCAACCTGTGAGTCGGCTGGGTTTTGCTTACTGAGCCCCACTGTAAATGATATTTATGAGGCCTCTCCAAGATGTCAAGAGCAGTGAACTTCAAATCTCAGAACCTCTCCCCAAATTTCCATATTTTTCTCTGAATGTCTTCTGGTATGCAGACCTATACCAAAATTGATTTTTAAAATCCTAAAATTCTTTGTATCTTGTTTAGTATCTTCTCTATATGGTAAACAACTAATTATATATGTCTGTATATGTAATTTTATTATTTATTTATTCATTTATTTATTGGTAGTGCTGAGGTTGGAACCCTGAACCTTGAGGATGCTAGACAAGCACTCTGCCACTGAGCTACACCCCTAAGCCCTAATAAATCTTTTGAAATTATGCATATGTATAGCATATACATTATGCACAGTGTAGAGAACTCCTGGGTTTTACATGTGTGTTCTTGTTTGCTCTCTGCTGCTATGATAAAACACTCTGACCAAAATCGACTTAGCAGAAAAAGAGGGCTTTTTTGGCTTACACTTGCAGATCACAATCTGCCATTGAAGAAAGAGCAGGAACTCAACCAGGAAGCACAAGAAGACACTATGATGGAACAGGGCTTGCTATCAGAAACAACGGAGGAACGTTTCTCACTGTCTGGCTTGTTCTCTAGCTCATGCTAAGCTCCCTTTTTTATACATCTCAGAACAGCCTGCCCAAGGAATGGTACCACCTTCACTGGGCTGTGCTCTCCTCTGCCTCTTAACAAACAAGAT